TTCTAGAAACACTTATGCTCTCACAGTATATTTGTAAAAGAAAATAATTTATTGTACGCATGAAGTTAAAAACACATAGCGTCATCTGGGATCCATGGCTGCCCTCCTCTAACACAACTGTAGAAGTGCGGTGAAGTACTAAATGCACTCTCATCCTTTAGCTTAATGACCCAATTTCTAGATCTCTGGAAGTATTTCCTACCATATTGACTGCAAGTGGCTGTGTTCAATTCCCCATGTTGTATACTCCCCGTGTTGGAGGGTAACTACCATGTATTGAATCTTGAACCAACTAATTGTGTAACCTCGTAATCTTATGATTAGTGAAGAGTGTGTAGATATTGCATAATTGCCTGGGTTATATTGACCCGGTTGATGTATGTCTGACGTTTGTTATTATTGTGTCTATGACACTTGAAAATCTCAATAAAAAGCATCTTTTTTTTTTAACGGTGTAATTGCACTCGAAGGATTAGTGACAAAAAGTAGCCATATTACAGATAACACAATGAGTTGCAGTGATGTCAATTATTCATCTATAATTATGCCAATTTTTTCAGCACGAACCCACTAAGGTTTTAATTAAACTAATCTTACAAAAAAAAAAAAAACACTTACCGATCGTCTACCTCTAGAAAAACGCAGCCAGGGGTGTGTGTGGTGGTAAAGACTCGTTTATCCATGGGAATTCTGGGAGCTGAAACATAAACATCACAATGAAAAAAGGTACCAATTTAAAAGGCAACAAGCACTTCTTATTAAATAGACTATGGAAGGGACGGTCGACCCTTTAGGGCCTGTTCACACGACGTCCATTTTCTGTGCTGACCTGATCCGTACGCTCCTGTACTAAAAATGCATCCCAATGTATCCATATGTGTTTTATGGGCTATAGTTCTCACGTGCGCAGTCCATTCAGGTTACGACAGAAAAATACTGCATGTCACATTTTGCACGGTCAGGAAACGGTCCGGAAATGCAAAACGCGTCAAAAACGCACTGCAGCTAACATACTGACAAGTTTTTTTTTTCTTTAACTGGAACGCATCAGAAACGCGGGAAAACACATAGCACCGCGTCTGCTGATCCGCACCTGATGAGGACCTGAAACTCATGTGAACAGGCCCTTAGCGCTGTCACGGGGAATTTTGTGGATTACAAGCGCCATTTGCCACAGCTGCAATGTAATAGGCTCCTATGGTGAACACCTCCATTTCCTCAACCAACCTGAACTAAGTTTCAACTGTGGAGATCTACAAAACAAAGTGAAATTTTACCTTCATATCCGGAGTGAATCTTTTCTACCAGAGCAAGACAGCAATGCTCTGGCTTACTGTGAGGGGACACACTGACTTTCATGGAATATGGCGTCATTCGGTAGGGATTGTACTGAATCTCGTGATCGCGGTCTTTTCCTCCCCTGGGAAAAGAAATAGAAACAAACTTTAATGGCAGAAAAAAAAAAAAAACAACATCTAAAAACAGGATGAGATTACATTTGTAACCAGTATAAACACTGAAACAAAAAAGTGATCGTTTTTAAATGTTTAATTCTTGAAAGTTACAGAAGCAATGAATTCTGGGATTCAAAAATGAAACAGGTGCCGAACACGGTTTCTAAAGCGGTGGTAGGAAACGCTGGCACTCCAGCTGTGGTGCAACTACAAATCCCACCATGCCTTTGCGAGTCATGAGTTTTGAAATGCCTCAGTGGATTTGTAGTTCCATAAAAGCTAGAGTGCCAAGGTTGCCAACTCCTGTTTTAAAGGCTAAGATGGAACTGGACCACACCAGCTGTCAGCTTCATAGAGTAGGGCACGCGTAAAGCATTCAAATGGCGTCCAGTCAGGCAGGCCTTTGCACTAAAACGCTGTTGGTAGAGCTAAAGAGATTGCATAATCAGGTTGTAACAAGTACGGTTGGCTTTAACTGTGCTGCTCAGGTTCTCCTTTCAGCCTCATGGTTGAGTGCCTTTATTTATTTTTTTCAATTGCACTCAGTATTTAGTTGTTGACAATCTCTGCTAGCCTCGTGTCATCTTAAAAGCTGAACTCTAGGCAGAAATACACCACACAAATTAATGTTAACTCTGTACACTTTTATACATCGATGAACTTATTTTTCTAGAAGCGAGCAGTGCAAGTACCTGGACCTGAATTGGTATCGGTTGGGTCCTGGGAGAGGGAGGCAGCACAAGGAGCTAGTCAGTGGAGTGCCAGACAGATGAGCTCATCATTCCGCTGCTTCTCTAATCACTGCCTAGTCACAGGCTGGAGGAGGGACAAGACCTGTGATTGTTCCTGATCTGCAGCAGAGAACAATTAGGTCTCCTGCACTGCCAGGCAGGGCTGTGGCAGAGCTGTGTAAATCTTAGAACTGGACAGAGAGAACTGCAAACCCTTAGACAGGTAAAAACAGCTCCCTTATATGTATTTCATCCGTATATTTAACTCCTTGCCTGGAGTTTCAGCTTTAGGTCGTCCTTTATTGACTTCCAGGCAGAAGGGCAACCAATGCTGTATCACAGACCTATGAGTGAGTAGCCCTGCCTGACTTGCCTATCTCCACTGCTGATCAAATTGGCTCCCCCCATAGCCCTGGATCAAATTGGCTCCCCCCATAGCCCTGGATCAAATTGGCTCCCCCCATATCCCTGATCAAAACGGCTCCCCCCATATCCCTGATCAAAACGGCTCCCCATCCCTGTTAGAAGCTGTGAAAGGGCTTGGAAAAACATGGTTCTGGCTGTGTACCGAATGGGAAAATGTTAATGATAATGAAATCAAAGAGACTAAAACAAAATTTACAGGGGGAAAAAAAAGGAACAGAGAGAAGAGAATAGACTGAAGACAACAAAGAAATTGTTATAGCAAATCTATTTTTAATCTTTTTCTTTGCCAGAGATGTTCGCTCATTGCACCAAGCTGCACCGCCACGTGTTTTATGTAGAAATGATGAACACGTTGGGTCTCACCTGCTCAATAGATCGAACATTTCAATTAACTATAGCTAGTACAGCACTTCAGAAACATGTGTGACTGATAATCCGCACAGTGCAATTATTTAACAAAAGAAATGTTAACAAAGGTTGTCGTGCTATTCCACAATGAATTGATTTCCAACTAGCACAAAAAAGAGGAGAGGAAATCATGACATTCATATTTTTGTATTTATGTTTAGAGGCTACTGCCTATTTCATATAGAATTGACAGAAATAACCCTCCTATTTAGCAACCAACAAATACAAATAGCCAGAAAACACACACTATTCTATTGACAAAAATACAGAATGCTCGAAGAAGTTTAGGTCTTATTATAAGGAACCTAATAAAACACCACTTTCAAGGCTCAGATGCCACATGTCTTTGGTGAGCCCCGGGTGCTCTACTATCTAAAAAGAGACCAACTCCTGGGTTCTGACTCCCTACCACATGCAGCACCTCCCTATTGATTAGTGATGGGCAGCAGGCCAAAGATGACTGCAAGTGTACCCTTCTATGATGACCTTCGCTCTCCACTTATACTGGGGGTAACTATCACATAACAACTGCATACACTGGAGAGGTAACCATTGTTCTCTGATGGATTAAACTGGGGGTTGAGGAGTAGCCATCACACTTTGATAGCTTGCACTGGAAATGGGGGGGCGGGGGTGACAATCAGGATCCAATGACTTGCAATGTGGGGGTAACCATCACTACCCAACGGCTTATGCTGTGGCACAAATCATCGTGTTCCAATGACTTACACTGTCTGACTGCAACTATTGCACTCAGATGGCTTAGACTTGGGGGTAACCATTGTGCTCTGCTGTTTATACGGTGGGTAACCATTATGCTGTAAAGGCTTTTACTGCGGGTATAACCACTGTGCTCAGATGCCTTAAACCACGGGGTAATCATCATGCTTTTGTGGCTTACACTTGAAGGTAACCATGGTGTTAATGTAAGGACTTCCAGCTTGATTTACTTTAAGAACTGTCAGGTCCAAGTTTGATTGTCCAAGTAAACCGAAATTTACGACAACCACGTAAAACCAATTGCCACCAGACATGGCTGTGCTTTCGCAAGAATCTGAATATTTAGTATTTTAGTTGTTTGGGCCTACCTATAATATCCTCCTCTTATCTAGCATCTCGTTAAGTCATAGGTCACCTGACCAGTTGCCACTTTGTCAAATTCCTGACCCCACATATTGTACCCTCAGACAGGAAACAAAAAAAGTGAGGTCAGGCAGCAGCTATCAGACTTCAGGAGATCTTTGACCCCTCAAATTTTGCATAAGTAAGCCTAAAAACAACAAATGCAAGACTTTTGTTCTAGTCCAGTCGTGAATGGTTCTATTTAAATCTCAAGCATTAATAACCCCCAGCAATCTACTGACGTCATTTTCATATTTTGCCTAAACAAGCCGTTGGAAAAGCTGTGGCCTGTATCCAAGGAGAAAGCCGCCGGCTGTGGGCTTCTGTTTGCTCAAGCGAGCTTCAAAAACAAGAGTAGAAAGTCAGTCACAGCGTGCGCCGTCAACATGGTGACATTTTCAGGAGCAGGAATGGAAGGCGACCAACCCCTGCCGCTTGGCAAATCATAATAATGCGAATGCACGACCATGTGAACAAGACACACAAACCTGCAGTTGTGCTATAATCCTTTGTACACGAGGCAGAAGCTTAATTGCCAAAGGCTGTTACATAACCAGACACTGATAGACTGACCAATGATTCGGTTTATTGTCTGGCGTATGAGCTGGTAGTCATAGTCAACCATTTTCTTCAGTTAAGGCTAGGTTCACATCTGAGCAATCCTGGGACGCGCGTCCCGGGACTGCACGATCGTGTGCAAACAGCAGTTGTTGCGCCCCCCCTCCCATTGATTCTAATGGGTTTACATCCGCGCGGCAATTGTACAAGAAGTACCTTTTTTGGCAACACACTACGCGCCACAATTACACTGGCGGAATCGCCCAGGTGTGAACCTAGCCTCAGGTCTGCAGTCCCACATGCACCTCAATACTGCTGTAATGGTGTACAGGCAGATATTTGCTGCAGTGCTGTTTATGAAGACAGCTCAGATCACAATCACAATGTACAGATCTAATCAGGATGTCTCAGCACCTTGTGATCACTGTGAACCAATCACAGTCATCACAAGTCTAAACACTGCCAGTGTTTACAAACATTCAGCTCATTTACAACCGAGGAAGGAGAGTGCTGAATGTTTGTAAGCATAGAAGGAAGGAGGATCATGGCAGATCAAAAGTGAAAGTAGGGGGGGGTCATACAGTGCCACCGACCACCAATGATTGTGGGGCTGTTTTTTTTTTTTTAAAGGGGTTGTTTTTTTAACAGTAGTAATTAAATACCCCCAAAAGAAAGCCCTGTCTCAAAAAATGATATAACATCAATCTGGATACAGTGCTGTATGACAGGGGAAGAAGGGGAGGGAACTGGAATTAGGATTTAAGTGGTCATGTTAAATAAGAAGACAAAACACAAATATACAGCTCCACCTGCAAATCAATGAATCAATCCATCCATCCATCCATGCACAATCCAAGCATGCTTCAACACCCCTGTATTGATTAACACGCCTATAACAGATCCACCTTTAATAGCTAATCTTAATAAAAAGCACGACAGAGAAGTCTTCATATTGTCCGACTTTAAAACACAATCCATGTAACCACTCAAGTAACAGGCATAAAAGCACTGAACTTGGCTGAATCAAATGTAATGGACCTCCAAAAAAGGTTGAAATTGCTGTTGCAGGCAAACAATCAAAAAATTTGCATCCCTCCTAACCAGGTGACTAAGGCTCTGTTCACACCTAGGCGTATCGAATATGCGCGTTTGTCGCGCGTTTCTACCGCAATTAGCGGTAAAAAAACGCGCAACGCGCGTTTGAGGGCTACTTGGCTGTATCCCAATGGAAACACGCAACAAAAACGGCGCAAAGAAGCTCATGTACCTTTTCAGGCGTAGGCCGTTTTGTAGCGCGTTCAGACGGGCTGAAATACGGCAAGGTGTGAACCATACCCATAGAAAACAATGGGATTTTCATGTTTGAGCTTTTTGTAGAGCGTTCGTAGAGCGTTGAACGCGCTACAAAACGTACAGGTGTGAACCAGGCCTAAGCGTTTCAACCCGATTGGGTATTTCTCAAGTTACAGGAGGAGGTACCTGAACATACCTTATTGAGGAAGGAACTCTCACCCTGGGTCCTGCATCCATTTGACTCTTAAAGTGTTCAATACACAGTTACATCAATACAACAAAACGATTTGAAAGAACCAAAAAGAAAATTAAAAAAACAAAAACAAAAACAAAAAAACCCCTAAACCAATCATAACCACATACAAAAACACATAGACTAATCATAATCTATTAATTCACAAAAGACCATAAAAAAAAACAACAAAAAA